CAACACCAACAACAGCAACAGCAACAGCAACAGCAACAGCAACAGCAACAGCAACAGCAACAGCCACAGCCACAGCCACAGCCACAGCCACAGCAACAGCAACAGCAACAGCAACAGCAACCACAACGACAGCGACAGCGACAGCGACAGCGACAGCGACAGCGACAACCACAACCACAACCACAACCACAACCACAACAACGACACCAACGACAACAACGACAACAACAACGACAACGACCACGACAACGACCACGACAACGACAACGACAACGACCATGACAACGACCACGACCACGACCACGACGACAACGACAACGACAACAGCAACAACAGCATCAACCAATGCTCAGAACCCAGTCAATGTACCCCACACTTCAACCTAAATCGTAGGACCCGGTTACGAAGTGGAAAGGACCCGGGTACCCCCGGACTGGCAGAAAAGGCTGGTCGATTATCATGTCAGAGCATGTCAATATATTTCAATCAACTTCGTTCTACCAAGCGAACCTCTGATTCTGACGTATCTCAAACATACGGTGCCATGAGTGTAACGTCTCAGATTGCGCCATGCTTGACCGGGTCGGGCTGAATGCGGCTGCAGGTCGCCGTGCTCCAGGGCCTTTGCTCCAGCTTCGCTTTGGAGTTGGAGGCCTTGGAACCTGCTGCTCGCGAGGACCTGGCAGACCTTGACAAGGCTTGGCTTCGGGGATCATGTGACATGCTGCGGCGATGCACATCGACATGGGGCCATGTCGGGACACAGCAGTGGGGGTTTCGTTGAGGCCTGAGCTTCTGTTGCGCAAGCTCTTTGAAGCGGGTTTCCTGGCAAAGCTCACTACCCACCCAACATTTCGAAGGCCATTCAGCAGTTCGCGGCAGAGGAGGCTGGCTGCGTATGGAGCTATATCGAGTCTACAAGTTGCTGACTTGTGAATCAGGCATGGCTCCTAGCAGAAGCAGACGATCCAGCCAATTCCATAGCCGTGCGGGCGAAGCTCCGGGCCATACACCAGGATCAAGGGACTTCAAAACTCTGCAAATCTGGGTAATTCCTCTTGTTGCACTTCAATTTGCGTTGTCAGACAGCAGGTTTGATTTGTTGGAGGAGTTCCTGTCAACTATACGCTGTGCATGAGCATAGACAGATGTCGCAGCACCAAATTAAATTTGTCTCAAGTTGTGTGAGCGTAAGTTTAGTTCTCTTCATGAAATGAAGGCCGCGGAGAGAACCGAACTTGATTCTTGTGCTGATGCAGGAACTCGTGCTTCCTGCCCGCCACCAGCTTCAGAGCGCACCTGCCTCAGATTTCCAGGATGCCATCTTGTTTCGACGTTTGGGGTGAACACAACAAGCACTTCTCCACATGTTTTAATTGGTTCGAAATCTCCACGCGTAATGCTAAATGCTGCATTTCGATTGTGTTTAAACCGCTGGCCCAGCGGTTCGGTGCTTCCGAAGGTTGCTTGAGTGCAGCTTACTATGTCTCTACATTACATGAGCAGGAGCCAAACTGGTCAGCTGGGCTTTGGCAGAGAATTGTTGCGGCACTTTTCATTCTGGGGACTTTGATGCAGGCAGCATGAAGCCACCCACATGTAAAACTCATGTAAATCTGCTCTGCATCAAGGCCTGGGCGGCCCTCCGAATCGACCTGGGCGTCACGCTTCGCTACTTTGCTGAGGTGGGCGTGGTGCTTTCCGCCCCTGGACAGTGCTTATCGTGCTCAGTGCTGCTACTTTGCCATGCAGCATTGTCACTGTGCACTGGCCGCGCTGTCGTTGTTTCATGGGTCGTGTTGCCAATCTATGCAGGCAGAGGCGCCAACCTTCGAAGCAGCCGCAGAGTGGCTCGGCTTGTTTGCTTGTTTCAGAAGCTTTGGCTGATGCGTCAAAAGATCGTAGCGTCGTAGAGTCGTAGAGTATCGTAGAGTCCAGGGCAGAGGCGTTTAGAACCGGGTTCGAGTCCGAGGGCCCTCAGCATGCAGCGCACGCATTGGCCGGCTTCGTCTTCTGAGAGCGGGCGGAAAACCAAGCCAGGGATGTCGGGATGTCACGATATTACCTGTGGGCCAAGGCAGCTGTTTCAGACCCTGCACGCATTTCAGAAGGATGTGGCCACTGCATCGTCGGCTCCTTGAGCTGAATTCGGTTACAGGGAGTCGTAAATTTCATTCAGAACCGTTGTTGGTGCTTTTGTATTTATGTGTTGCTGGGCTTGCGTGTATTTCACTAAGGGAAGCAGACAAAGACCTTACATGCTGGTTTTCTGGTTACCATCGCGCATATGAGCAACATGGTAGGCTGGCAGCGGCTGAGGGTTGAGAACCCTAAGCCCTAAACCCTAAACCCTAAACCCTAGCTCAGGCAACCTAGTTTCCAATGTTTTCACGCCGACTGTCGAACATGGATCCTCGCCTGGCTTGTCCGAGTTGCGAGAGTGTATGCCAAAGCTCAGATCAGAACTCGGGTCCGACAGACTGTGCTCGCAGAGCATTCCGAGCATCCCACGGGCTTGATGAAAATTGAGGTCCCTCCTCCTAGTCGTAACCCCTAGTCATAATCCGCATAGTATAAGCCTTTATGCACGCCTGCCTGGCCCTCAGTTTTCTCTCCTTTCAGGGGTACCCGGCAGTCGCAATAGGCCTGGATGCAAAATGCACGCCTGACAGTAACCCCACATATTGACGCTGATCCCACATACTGACTCTGATAATCATTCATAGTAACTCTACGCTTGGCCCTTATAATCCGTCAGGAGATTCTTTCCCAGCCTCGCCGATTCCTGAAGGCTTACGTGGCATGGCGGAATCACTTCGGGCTAAGAACCGACGATTTGCGGTTGTAAGGTTAAGGGACCCTAAACCCTAAACCCTATACTCGCCTGGATTGTCCGAGTGTGAGCGCCGAAACCCTATACTGTAGGGTTACAACATCCGCACACGGCCAGGCTGCCGGTCGGATAGAGCCTCGGGTTCAAGAAAGGGTTTGAAGACGCTTTTTCCGGAGTACTGGTGTTGCCAGACACCACCGGAGGCCGTGATCCGTGCTAGGAAGGAATCGTGGCAACGGTTGTCATCGAAACAACTATAGTTAGCGGAGAACTCACTTCCCCAATATCCCACAGCCTCCACTTAACAACAGCAAGGTACTTCAAGCCGTCAGGCCTTCATGGGATCACGACATTCCTCAAACATCAATAGTCATGTGACTCGTAATACTGTATCAGTTCTCGAAGCCCGGCCCGGCCGTGTTGTGGAGCTGTCGTTTCTTCATAAGAAAAGCCCGCTTCCGCTCTTTCCGCTGTTTTGGCATGCTTGGAACATGCTGAGGCAGCCGGTGGGCACGAGCCAGAGGAACAGGACACAGCCACTGGCAAAAACAAGGCCTCGTGTTGGTGAGTTGCAGTTCACCCGTTTTGGTGATCCGGCGCTTAAGCCACAAGCATCAGTCATTAGTCAGTGGCTTGAATCCACTCTCTTGATGCGCCCCCCGTTGTGCTGATGACCTGCAGTGTGCCTGACTTCTGAGTCTACAAGTGCCATAGCGGTTTTTCTGCAGTTTAGTATGTGCGGAAAACTTCGCCGTGCTTTGGAAACAGCCAAACCATCAGCTATGTTTTTGCCACGCTCATCAGAAGAATCGCGTCCAGAACGATGAAACACACCCCTATCGTTGTGAATCCCTGGAGTTCCCGTCGATTTCACGACAGAGCACTCTGCACTCTGCACCCACACGTACCATAGCCACCAGTTAGTGCAGTCGTTGGAGTGATTCGAATCGAATCAGACACGATGTCGTTCGGATGTTCGGAGAGTTCTTCTGAAAGCCCGTCCCGGCAAATACTGTGACGAAGAAATCCTTCTTCCGAGATTCAGCCTCGGAGCTCCTCCGTGCCTAGCGTGTCAAAGGCCGGGCGTGCCTTGGCGTTGATCGTTAGTGCAGCTTCCCGGCTCAGGTTTCGAGGGTCATTCCAAAGCTTGCACATGCTCTCGGGACACGTCTTTCCTCCTCGGCGGAAAGGTGCTTGGATTAAGAGTGTCTTCGACAAGGGCTCATCCCGATCCAAGGACAGTTGCGGAAACTCTCGTCTTTGGCAGATCGTGCTCCTGGGCTGCAGAAAACGCAAGGCGTGAGGCCTGAGTAAATTTCCATCCAGGGCTTCTGCAGACCGTTGAGCTTGCAGGCGTGCGAGACTGCACAGAAGCACATGGCGGTGTTAACGAATGACTTATTCAACTCTCACACATCAGCCACACATCAAGCCTGGTCTATCTATCTATGCATCTAAGTTTATCTGTTCATTGTAATCTGCCTATCCAATGACTTGTATAGCTGGCCAGCTAGCCGCCAGCTATCCGCAAGACTTGTGCCTGTCCGAGGTGGCCCAGCAGAACTCCACCAGCAACGCGGCATTAGCTGGCAATGGCGGCTCTTGCAAGGTGCAACCGGCACTGCTGACGGAGGCAAATGGGCTGTGACGGGTGATTTTCGGTTTTGGGTGTCAGGTTGCAAAAAGGTGATGCAGCTTACGTGCCGAATGCGTAGGCCCAACAGAGGAATTCTTGCGAAGAGACACTTCTTTTGGGGACAGGCGAAAGGCAAGGAGTAGGGGCATGATGTTGGCTGCACACCAATGCTTTGTATCGGCTATTTTAGACTGCAGCGAACCCGAATCTGCATGCCCCCGGTCCAGTGTTTTCAGCATTGACCTGGTGTTTAAAGACGAGCACCCCATCTTTTCTGTGGTCCACGACCCGTACAGCCAAGCCCATTCGACAGAAAATGCTGGACGGGGCAATGCAATGTGCAGGCCATATTGACTGTTTGTAAAACAAGATAAAACAAGCCCTGAGCAAAGCAACCCCTCATGCCGCGAGAAAGAGGACAGACAGAGAGACAGGTTTCTCCTCCCCAGAGGTAGGCTGTACTCGCGGCTAGAAGCTGAACTGTCTCCAAGGCACTGAACTTAAAGTCGTGCAGTCGCTGCAAGGCGCCTATACCTCACAGCCAGGTGAGTGACAAGGCCCATGCATCAAAGCCAGACGGCTAGATCTGAGATCTGATGTTGCTTTGGGGTGATGATGCCGACCTCACGTAAATCGCTACATGTTGGCTCTGAGTCACAGGATCCTCTTGCATGTGCCGAACTGGGGTGGCAGAGGCAGGCAGGTAGTTGCAAAGTGGTTCTAACGGAAAAGTTGGTTTCGTGCCTTAATTCACAACAGACATGCCTCCGGTCGATATTCCACCGCAAGAAGCTTGAGAAAACTTTGGCCAGAGTTCTTGGGTTTGTGAGTGACTACTAGCCGCAGCCCAAACGGTGAGTGTACCCGAGCGGAGGTTTCAATCTGGGACTCTCAAAGAGAGCCAGAGCCCAGTCCTTGCAATGGTGCGCAGCGCCAGCCACATGTTCGTGCTATCAATTAGGGTACTAAGCGTGACCATAAAGCAACAGTTAACTTTCCAAACGTCTCCACGGCCTTGATGTTTGTTGCTGGCGCTGCTCCTACATTGCCCTGCGTTTGCGCGAGCTTGCGCAGCTTGCGTGCGCAGATGCTATCGGCGAAAAGCCCGCGAGCATGCAATCGGGACGTCGGAATTACTCGGAATAATGGAATCTCCTAGGCGATGCGCACCAACACGCGCAATAAGTAACCAGCCAGGGCAGTGTATACGCTTGCATTCTGTACTTTGGGCGAGACTGGCAGATGGACCGGCATCCCCTGCCCGGCAGAAGTTGAAATCCGGTGTGCAAGTAGAGACGGCTGATTGCAGCTGATGAATTTCGTTGACAAATAGATCCTTCAGGATTACATTAAGTCAAAGCTGCCTACCTGGACATTCGGCCTGTTGACAGCTCAAGTGGTCTTCCGAAGGTGTCGGGCCTCGCCACACACGAAAATCGCCTTCGCAGCGAAGGGCTCAAGCACTGGTGTGCAGTGCGCGAGGTCGCAAAGTGCACATCTCTCGTTCCCGCCCTCCCCAGGTCCAGACCAGTGGTGGCCGCAGCTGTGGTCGAAGTACAGTGAGCTCCAGAAGGCGATGTTTCCGCGCAGTCGGGCGAGGGTTGTGTCACGCCAAACCGGACAAGTGACAGGCGGCCAGGAAGAGACCACGTTTCCATCACATCCGCATGCACCTAGAAGCAAGCCGAAACCGAAGTAAGTGTGCACAGATATGCTTTCCTCGTGATGCCTTTGCCCTTCAAATCTGTAGGACTGAATGCTGCGCGTGGTTTTTGTTCGTCCGTGCCCTCCTGTGATGTGCTGCAGCTAGTAACTGTTGCTGTAGTATACTGTAGTAGTGACAAGCTTTTCTTCATGCCCTTTCTGCATTTGTTGTTCGAATGCTTGATGCCTGATATATAGTTACTTTTCACTGTCATCGGTGCTCTTGCCATTTCTCCTGCGACAGTTGAATATGTGCTGATTCGGAGTGATAAACACGACACCAGCGATTTAGGGCACGTGGGGGGCAACCCCACCGCCGCTCGAGGCCGAGGTTTTGGGCGGCCTCCTGTGGCAGCTCGCTCCTTCCCATCGCCCTTCTGCTCCATTAGGGCTGCAAGTTCTTCAAGATTAGGTACTTTTGGCTTGAGTCTGGGGCTTGCATCTTTTGCCTTTTCTGGCGTGCTGCTCAGCGAAGCCATGATCGATGGTTTTGGGCGTGCCACCATATACGCCCGCTGTAGACACGCTGCTGGCAGCCTCGACAGAGTGACAAAGACAAGGATAGACAGAGGAATTGGAACCAATACTTCTGCCTGTCTGTCTATGTGCCTGCCCTAGCGGCCTGTGTGGTCATATATATATATATATAGATATAGATATATACACATTTATATCTATGTATATACCCCCCCTTCAGTTTTGTATGTTCGTGTGTTTCTTGTGTTTATGCAGGGCGTCCTTCTACGTTGCGTGCGTCCTGGCTTGTTTCGAAACTCCGTGTCTGTTTCGAGACACCTCGGTAGGCCCAACCCACTAACCCATTGACCCAATAATTCTGGCCAAATGGACTCGGGAGTGGGACCCAGGGCAAATCATTGGGTCAATGAGTTAATGGGTCAATGGGTAATGGGTTGGGAGTGGGCTGTATCCCAAGTCCATTTGTCCAGAATGATTGGGTTAATGGGTTGGGGCCCTGGCAGGCGCGTGTTTCGAAACGCACGCCGGCGTAGACCCCGTTGCAGGTCAAATAGCACGTAAAGCACCGGTTGCTTCATGGAGCGATTTGTATGTATGGTCAGGCCTCTGGCGTACGAGTGTGAAGAACAAAATGCACAACACATTGATGTCTAGTTCGGTTCACCGGGGTCGTCAAGAGTGTAAGCACCCAAAGCCAGTAGGATCCTTAATGCATGGTATACTTCACTATGTCATGCTAATTTATGTTGTGTGTTTTCTTACATATTATTCAATATATGCTATACCCCCTATCCTGCTATGGTTAAAGGTTTTACAAATGTAAACAACTGCATTATACTATATACCATCTGTATACTTTCTGCTATGTACGAAACCACACGTTAATCTATTGTAGACAATGCTATAGACCATAGACTTTACTATAGACAAACTAAAGATTATACTGTGAACTCGAGAAAACACTGCAGTGTACCGTACTGTATACTGCATATACTACACTATATACTACACTGGACTGTTACATTTTACTATGCTGTACTCTAGTATACCGTGCTATACTCTACAGGTGTCATTTGTGAAATTCTGTTACAAGGTGCATATTACGTAATATACTACATACGCCCACACATTTGATATTCTATCATGCTGTGCTGCACATGTTGGTCTGTTGATATACTGTACTCTGGCGAACATTGTGTTGTTTTACTGTCTTATGCTACATTAGACATTTTGGGTCAGAGATATGTCATAATGATTCATACAATATGTGAGTCTACTGCATATGATAACCAAAGCTTGGTTAGATGGTATATCATCTTATCCTATGTCGCACCATATCACCTCACAATGATCAAATTGCTTTGTGTCCAACATCTTGGTATCTTCTGATTCTCGACAATCTCATATTGCCCAATAGTTGGTTATTGTATGTGACATTGCATCTGGTGATGTTAGACTGTATTGTGGCACATAAAGTATTCATCTGGTTGTCAGTTTCCTTATCTTTGCATATTGCATCACATCACAATGGTCACTGTACCATGCCATATCAAATCATGTGGTATTGGGGCATCTTATGTCCATCATATGGTACTGTACATTACTATATACGACATGATATCAGGTAAAAGCATGATTCGTCACATCAGGTTGTTTTGCAAAAGCAAACTGTAAATTACAGTGTCACTCTAAAAATGCTGTACGCTATCATGTTAGTTTACCTTCTGTCTTGTCCTTGGGTTGCGCGAAATACTACATATTCTACAAATGTTACATGTTATGCATTCTGCACTGCAGATGTACCGTATAGTCTTTAATGTGCATTGAAAAATATGGGTTTATACCATACTTCATGTGATTATTCTGCGATATGTTACCTGATCTTGCCTAATCGTATCACATCTATATCGTATTCTGACGTCATATCAATCCCGATTGTGCTGTACCAAGTTGCAATGGGTAGCTTTCCGCACAAATTGCGAATACCTGATGGCAAACTGCAAGGCCCCAGTGCCTTGCCACAAACCGCAGCCCTGGAAATTGCGATTCCCCGATAGCTTGCTGAGAAAACACCTCCGAAGAGCCTTAGAAATGGCGATCCTCTGTTTTCTTACTTCCTCGGCACAGTGGGGAAAATGCGAAAACCTGGGAGGGGTGGCGGGATAACCAAGTGCACATATACATACATATGTATGTATACATATACAGATATATCATACTGATTGATGGATTTACTTGTTCATTCACTCAGCTATTTATTGTTTGTTGTATACACATGTATATATATATATATATTTATTTGCTATTTTTCCATTTTCATGTTGCATACATGCACAGACTTATGTATACATAGGCACATACCTACATATGTGTGTGTAATCTGCTTGTCTATGTAGTTTACAGTACGATGTTACTCCTTCGTGCAGGCGACCACAAAATTTACAAGATACATCTGGGTAGTTCTCTGAATTAGGGTCCCTTTTAGGGCTCCTGTTTATAAGACCCTAATTTAGACAACATACCTCTGCGCCACGGGTGGACGCGTGATCCGAGGCTGTTCCCGGCAAAGCCTCTACGAACTGGAGGAGCTGGAAGCTGAGGGCCTCCTACCTATAGTCTCCATTGTCGTTCCTTTTTGGGGATACCTTATAAAGGCCTTAATGGTTTAGGGTTTAGGGTTTAGGCCCTTAATATATAATTGGTTAAACCAAAAAAAGGAACTACAATGGAGACTATAGGTAGTGGTGTTCAGCAGAGTATCCTCGAATATTTGGGAGTGGATGACAGTCGATGAGGCTGGCAAAACGCCTGCCTAGAAATGCCGGTGCCTCAGGCTCAAAGGCAGCCGGCAACACACAAAGTGAATGTTGTGTAGCACACTTGTGTGCGA